GTAATTGTGCATATTAATAAATAATTTGCATAATTAATTTTCAGCTTTTCTACTGATATCTAAAGTACTAATCATCACATTTCAATGAATCTAGAATTATGCAGACCCAATGAGTTTCTGGTAAATATTTGTGCATATTAATCACCTAATTTGCATAATTAACCAACTTTCACACTGATATCTCGGGTACTAAACATCACATATCAATGAATGTACATGGATGCTGTAGGACAATAGACAGACCTGGATAATTGTGGGTTAAAACCTGTACATATTAATTACTTAATTTGCATAATTAACCAATTTTAAGCTTTCACACTGATATCTAAAGTACTAATTATTCCATTTCAATGAAACTTAGTACAAAGATGCTCTAGGACAATGTACAAATCTAATTAGTTTGGGGTAAAAATCTGTTCATATTAATTCCCTAATAAGCATAATAATTCATAATTTTTTGGTTCTAATCACATTTCAATTAAACTTGGAAACATAGATTTTCTGTTACATTGCGCAGACCTCATTAGTTTTACACTCAAATCTGTTCATATTAATTTTCTGATTTGCATAATTAGTTTTCAGCTAAGTAATTTTGAATTATATTTAATGTGTCTCCAATACTCTCAGCACATGGGAGTTCTTTCTAAGCTTTCTTTGATTTTACTTTGTCTCTTCTAACATTTAAATATTGTCTGCCATCCTAAAGATTGGGCTGATTCAGCAATTCATTGATCAAACATCAGCTGAACAACAGCCTTCTGCATTACAGCAACCATGCTTTCAGTATTTTCACTCCAAAGTTGTAAAATGAAATTCTGTTTCCAATTAGGAATGCCAGTACTCTTTTTAAAAACCTGATAGTTTGTTCTTTGGTTCTGTTTTAATTGTTAACTGTGAAGCACTTAGGTATTTTTTTGGGGGGGGGGGGGCATTAGGCGCTATTTAAATGGCATTATTATTATATTATTATTCAAAAGAATGGCGTCTTTTCAGCAAGAGTATTAAGCTGTTTGTGAACTCCCAACTGTAAACTATTCTTTTTGTATCACAAGGAGCATTGTGGATAAAATGGATAGAAAAATAACAATAAACTCAGCTCAGTGGTTCTTTTGTAGCCTTTTGAATGATGTAACTTTTCTCTCTATAATGTTTCATACCGGGGTAATTTTATTTATTTTTCCCATAATCTTTGTGTTAATATTCGACTAAATGGGCATCATTTCCCATTTATTTGTGGTCTTGATCAACATTGTTTAGTGAAAGGTAACAAAAGTAGAGTTTGGTAATAAATAGTTTAACTATTTGATGATATGTAATAATTGGTACTGTATTATTATTATTATGTAGGAAACTGTTTGAATGTAATTCCTGGAAGTCGCTGCTATGACAGAGTATACTGTGGTGCTGCATGCCCACAAGAACATGAGAAGTATATGGGAAATTTACTCAAAGTTGGAGGCATACTAGTAATGCCAATGGAAGATCAGGTAAGAATAAACATGGTTATCACAATTAACACAATACATACCAGATCAGAGATATAGACTATATTACAAAATCATTATTGATATAAAGTATTTCCTATTTTGTCTGAGATGTGCACCAGACTCTATTTCCTGTTTAGTCATAAGCCATCTGAATTCATAGGACAGCTATTTTACTTGTGTTACTACTGCATCCATACGAACATTGAACATTACATACTGGTACGTCCTAGGTTAGTTGTGTTTAGCACATCATCAAATGTGGACAGCACATTATTAAGCATGGAAATGTCCCCGAAGTACTTTCGCGTTTGTCGAATCCCACGCGATGTTTGACGCCACTACGACGCTATGACCTTTGTTTGTCCTGTTTTTACGTTCGATTTCACGCATAACGCGTGATTCTCGCAGTGAACGGAAAATGGTCTATTACTGCCATATATTTTCAATTTTACATGAAGTGCAGATCCTTTCAAATTGAAATTCGCATTAAGAATCAATAGTAGTTATAAATATAACAATAAAGGAAATTGTTTGATAGCAATTTTAAAAGTGTTTTGATGTTTGAAATCAGAAACTGTTTTTCAATTATATTCAGTCCTTGAGAACAGCTTGGGTTTCCCTCTTCCTTCCGCCAAATTTTCATCATGAACATACACCCTCAGGGTGGCAGTTAGTGTTGTAGTGTTACCAAAATTTATTTGAAACCTTTTAATTTTGAGTTATTTTGCCAAAAATCTAATCTAAACGCACCAGCGTTCGCAAGGTAGTACATTATGCTGTGGTAACTTGAGTAAAGTAGTTGTAAAATTATAGATATAAATTGAAAAAGGGGTGGTCCTAATGGATATTCAGGAATCAACACAAGAGTATGGCCTGCATGTTAGACTAATCTTAGTAGGAAATGCATGACATCGTATGTTGATTTTGTAATATACCGTAGTCCATCTCCTATTGTCAAATAGAGATTGCTGCGTGCGTGTAAATCGTTCATAAAATTGTCACAAAACAAAGTCATAACAAAAAAAATATTCGAACGAAACTAAAAATGACTCGTAGCACTGATGCAGCTGAACGGGATTTGTATCAGTCGTCAAATAAAGCAAATGGAGGGATATGAAAGCACAACAATCAAAAATCTCTTTCGTCCGATTACTTCTATTGAAAACTATGCAATAAAGCAACATGGCGACCACCTCCATAGACGACGAAAACATGCAAAACTTCGCCATAAAGTGACTATAAAAACACACAAAAATAGCGAGAATGGACAAAGCAGTATTGTAAAGGTTTGCAGACATCAATGTTTTTAGAGGTAAAATTGTTTCTAAACTGAGTGAGGGGTTTATTTCACGGACAATATCACTCCTAGTTACAGTTCAGTTGAGATTGTAGTTTGGTGTAAAAATAAAGCACAATTTCAAAAAGTTCAGTCTTTTCGAGCAACATTGAATGCAATAAATAATGGAGAAAAATAGCGCCCTCCGATGACAATTACGTCATAGTTGTGAGACCAGCATAAGTTCTCAGAAGCTGCTCGTTCACACCTTTTAACAATAGCGCTTCCTAACTGTCCTAGTAGAGTGACTGCTCCAGCACCAATAACATTCCCTAAACATGTGTAGTTTATGCCTCTTATGTGCATTTATTGATGCAACACTAACTTTGAAAAGTGCATAGTACATGGTTTACTTACAAACACTGATTCAGATGTTCAGAAAAGAAAAGCAGGAAAAAAATTAAACACAAACACATTCATGAGTGTGATGAACATTGATATGAATGTTAGGTGACCAAGTAGAAGTTGCATGATAAGCAATCAGTGTGAATGGGTTTCATACATGTAGTCTGTGTGATAAATAAATATGGTTAATTTTAAAACTGCATTTTTGAGGACTCCTAATGACCCAACGGAAGCTACACTAAGTCTTGTGGGTAGGCTATTTGGTGCTGTGCATCGGTTTGAGTCACAAATAAGGCATACTTCAATAATTTTGCATGCAAGAAGTACATTTTTACTTCATGTGAATTGAAGATGTGCTTCAAATATTGTAAATACAGTATTCCTTATTTGTACTTCATGCTTCCAATACCTTTATCACGCAGGAGTTCTTCCTGAAATTTATTTTATTTAATTCCTATATGTTAACAGCAAATATGCATTCAGAATTGTAGTAACTGCTTTGATGTGACAATGCATATTAACTTCTATCAGATTGAACTGATGTATATAATTAAAACAAAGCGAATTAAATTCTTCCCAATATTATGAAAGATGTAATCATAATATAATAGAAGATACAAATATTTTGTGTTTTTAGCTTCAACAGATAACAAGAACAGGACAGAGTACATGGGAGGTGAAAAATGTTCTGCCTGTCTCCTTTGCACCCCTTGTATTACCCTCTAAAGCTGATGGGGATCATTTAACAAGTATTGATCTACGTAAGTACAACTCTTTAAACAGTAGACGTTCCAATTTTGTGCTGTGGATAATGTAATCTCTTCATTGAACCCCAGTAAAGAAAACATGACATGTGGCCATAATTATCAAATTATGTTAATTTCAACTATCTCTCAGTTGTGATACAAAATATGCAGTTTAATAAAAGATACATTGCTGTTACTTCTGCATAATGAAGCCTCACACTACCTTCACTGTATGCATTGTACCTGATTTACTTGATGTATGCATGCAAATTACAGAGATGTTTTAATATAATAAATAATATTTTAATGATTCAGTATACAACAAATGCAGTTTTTATTAGCTCCGCTGTTGACGAAGTCGAGCGGAGCTTATAGTATTACTGATTGTCCGTCGGCATCCGTCACCAGTCGTCGCCATCGTCAACTTTACATTTTCGACTTCTTCTTAAAAACCACAAACTGTATAGCTGTGAAACTTTCTAGGAAGGTATCATGGGTGGTTCTCTCTCAGATTTGTTCATTTTGTGGGGATATGTTCAATTGTCTTATTTATAGCATATATAATATTTTTGTCATTTTTGGTCAAAAATGCTATTTTCGGCTTCTTCTTGAAAAACACTAGTCCAAATGCTTTGATATGTAGGTACCTTGGGTGGACCTCTCTCAGATTTGATCATTTTGTGATGATATCTTCTTTCCTCTAATTTTGATGAATATTTTTGTCATTTTTGGTAAAGAATTATATTTTCGACTTCTCCTTGAAAACTGCTTGTCCAATTTCTTTGATATTGTATATGTAGGTATATCAGGTGGACCTCTGTCAGATTTGTTGATTTTGTGACAATATCTTCAATTCTCTAATTTTGATGAATATTTTTGTAATTTTTGGTCAAAAACGTTATTTTCAACTTCTTCTTAAAAACTGCTAATCCGATTGCTTTGTAACTTTATTTGTAGGTACCTTGGGGAACTCTCTCTCAGATTTGATAATTTCATGACGATATCTTCAAATCTCTAATTTTAGTGAATTAGTTATTTCTCGTAAAAATGTTATTTTCAACTTCTTGTTGAAAACCTCTAACCTGATTGCTTTGTAAATTTATTTGTAGATACCTTTGGTGGATCTCAGTCAGATTTGTTAATTTCATGACGATATCTTCAATTCTCTATTTTTAGCAAATATTTTCGCCATTTTTCATCAAAAAACATATTTTTGACTTGTCCTTCAAAACCAGTAGTCCGAATTCTTTGATACTTGTACACATACAGCTTTGGTAGACCTCTATTAAATTTGTCCATTTCGTAAAGATATCTTCAATTCTCTACTTTTAGTGAAATATTCTCTGCAACAAAATCAAGAAAGTTGGTGTCTTGCGATATTAAAGCAGCTAGCATTAAGTTTTAATTGCTTCTTAGTCATTGCTTTCAGAGCATGCATCACAAACAACGGAGCTATATCAGCCGACAGGCTGCTAGTTACCTTGCCCGTAACATCAAAGATGGAAGGGAAAGGTATATTAAGGAAAAATTTCTGTCCGGCGTTGTTGTCATCGTCGTTAATAATTGTTATTGTGTGCATGATAACTTTACTAATTCTATTCCAAACTTTATCAAACTTGATCACCTTATTTATCAGTATAAAGTCTTCCCTGAGTTTGAACGACAGATGTCCTGTATGAAAATATCATGCAAAGATTGAGAAAATCTGATAAAATATTTTGACTGTTTCTACTTGACTGATCACTGGTGATACACATTCAAAGGTCACTGATCTCAGTGAAAAAAAGGTTTGTTGTCTGTGTTCAATGAAGCAAATCATTTATCTTGTAATAATATCCTTGGTAATGTAGCTCCCAAATCCCATTGGAATACTAGACTGGGTTTTGAAACCAACTTATGGAGAGAGTTTTTTTGAAACAAACTATGATAAAGGGAATAATATTGTATAACAAAGGGCAAGATCACCAGAGTTCAACTATGTTTGGCGATGCGTTTCTAATAAAGCAAATACGATAAATGTATTCCACCTTGCAGTTATTACACACAATAATTATTTTTGCTTACAGTGAATGGAATCATCTTCCCCTAAACAAACAGATTATGTTGCCATGTACTTGTTTTTATTATCCATGGCCACTAATCTCTAAGCATCATAAGTGCTTTAGATTTTGTGTGGTGATCAAATCTTATCCAACAGATCCTAGCTGAACCTTGGTAGTGCATCTTTTGTTTGTATGGATCAATCAATGTTAATATGAAATAATATTATTTTTACAGCATCGGTTGATCCAAGAAATTTGCAAGATTTGTGCCGTTTATGCATCAGACTTATTTTACGTGAAATCGTAAATAAAGAGCATCCACCAATGGAGCGAGAGAAAAAACCTAAACCTCGAGTAAACAGACCACGTATACGGAGCCGCATCACCATAAGTAGTGTTAATAACATGTTGGAATTGGCCAGCGAGATTATGAATGAGTTGAATGAAAACGATGAAGAAGAAGGGGCTGAACAGGAGAGAGAAGAGTCAGATGATGATGATGACATAGAGGACAACAAGAACACTAAAAAAGATGAGACAAAGGGGGAAGACGGTAAGACAAATGACACAGAAAAAAACAATGAGAATGATGAGACAATAACAGAAGAATTGGCAGAATGCCAAATATCAAAAGGAAGGAAGCGAGCCCATGAGAATGGATCACAGGATGAAAATGGTAGCAAGAAAGTATCAGAAGAAAAACTGTTGAAAATCGATGAGCAGCCCGCCGTTAATCACTTACATGCATTCAGTGAGAACATAGAGTTAGTGGAGGAAGATTTGAAAGATCCAGAGGAGTCTGTGAAAGCAGGAAACAATCATCAGAAAACAAATAACTTTGTGAGAAAAGATATAGATGAAAACATGATGGATGAGGAAGAAAAAACTCATGACAGTGACAGCGAATCAAATTCATCAGTTTTGTCATCGTCAAGTTCAAGTCAAGATTCATTTGAAAAAATTCGTTTACGTCTTTCCAGAGAGCTATATCCATCGGAACCTAAATCTGAGGAAAAAAAAGAAATGAGCAAAAGTGATGAAGAACCAAATTACCTTAGAGAGAAAATAAGGTTGTTACCTCTGCCGTTACCACTGATTGAGTACTTGCTGTACTACAGGAAGCATTGATGTATACAAGATCCTGAACTGCTTATAACTATGGAGGCTGTTGCCATATATGTATTTGCATTCTCCACAAGATGTGTTTCATGTAAAGACAAAAAGCATCCTAACCAGTCATCTGTTACATGATATGTTATCACAGTGCATTTACGCAAGCACATACGCACTTCTAGTACAGCACTTTTCTTGCTGCCATCTACACCCACGGTACCGTAATTTCATGCTGCCTATATAACCGATGGAGTAAAATATGTAACCTGCAAAGTGTTAATAGATTCCCCAACCTTTTATAATTAATAATAAGCATTTACACAATTTTGTCAAAAACTTAAATTGTGGCCATTCTTGACGCAACACCATGTGATTTTATGATATCCTCTCTTTGCTACACAAACCATTTTACCAAACAATCTTGTTTCATTCAATTATTAAACACAAGAAAATAAAATGGCAAAAAAAATTGTTAAATTAATTCAGAAGAAAAAAGTACATTGAAAGAAAATCAAACAGAAACCAACGCAGCTCAAAAGAAGCTTTAAAAATAGTTTATTTTAAAAGTCTTATTTACCAGTCAAGCAACTGGTATGTTTTTGTTTTGTTTTTTCCCATCTATAGTATGGTATGGTCAGTATTGTCTAAAACATTGTTTCATAATGCAACATTGGTTTCATGATTTATAAATCAGAAATTAATGCTGATCGTTAAGGATCAAAATATCTGGCTGATAATTTTGACCTTTATATAGTTATTGTGAGCCATTTTGATTTAATGAGAGACAATTTTTGTAGAAGTGAAAACTTTACTGGGGCTCAATTCATGAGTGAATTTAATCCATACAAATATGATCACGATTGACTGTATAAAGTAAAAATGCTGACATGCAAATGTATTTTATTCTTTTTTGTACTCTCTTGGCTCAAGTTATGGAGAATTTCATGGAATTCAATCTATACAAATTCCTCAAGAGTTTTTGATCCCGGTTGACTTTATAAAGTGGAAAAAAATGCTGACTTGCAAAATTTATGTATTTTATTCTATTTTGTACTCTCGGGCACCATTTTAAAAAAGTACTTTGTATTGTATTACCTCTTAAAAAAGCTGAAAAAAATTGTGCACGGCTTGAGTGCAATTTTATTTTACACGTAATAAAATGCAAGGCAAAAAAAGAATTAAAAAAAAAGCTTGTTTTAAAATTACATTTGTATGTAACAAATGCTAAATATATTGTGTTTGTTATTGCGTTATTGAAATTGGTGTAACAATAGTGTTTGCAAATGATAACACCAAGCAACGTAATGTGATTAATTATTTATGAAGATGTTTGATTCAAACAAATAACTACAAAAACTAGAATACCAACAGACGTATTGATAACTGTTAGCATTAAAATTAGTAATGTACAATAGATCTTTTAAGTCGCTACGAAGTTGCCATTGTGTCACATTATTTGCATATATGTGGTCACATTTTATCTGTTTTACACGCAGAATTCCATTCGTTGGTTACGTCAGTTCTATTTTCAGTAAGCTCTAGTAATCATGACAAATGGTATAAGATGGTGCTTGGAAAATTCAACTACAAAAGCCTAATGTAATTCTTTGCATGTCAATCATCACAGGCAAATCGGTATTTTGTGTGTTTGTATTTGTCTGAATCTGACGTCTTCATGAAATAATAGTATGACATGATTCGTAACAAAACAAAGTCATAAAAAAAAAAATATTCAAACGAAACTAAAAATGACTCATAGCACCGATACAGCTGAACGGGATTTGTATCAGTCGTATCAGTAAGAATCTTGATTCAATGAGGATCTTGACAATCTTCTTAAACAGAGACTTTCTGAACATATAAGGACTTCAAACCTGTGTATATTGACTTCATTTCTACGTAAAAATCTATATATTTGCTCTATTAGAAGTCAATCTCAGATAAAGGTGTATGATAGTCTTTAGTGTTTGTAAGTACACCAAACTCACCTTGATTTGTTGACAGGGCATTACTATGTGCATCTAAAAGTCAGTTTACATAACGGCACATGCGCCTTGCACCTTGAGTTGCACTGTATGATATAACAAGTTGCTAAACTGGGTCAGGCAACAACCCCCATGTGGATTTTTCATGCAATAGTTCGCTCCTCATCACAGCCAGTTGTCTTGTATAATCGTTAATTTCCCCGAATTATCTCGCGCATCAACAATCTCCTTAATATAGCAAATATGGTGATAATGTCCACAGAGAATACTGGTTTATCATAACTAATGTTATTTTGCATACAGTGTTTTGTGTATTTACAGTGTTACTACTCAGATTTCTCCATAAAATATTTCATGGTGTTGTTCACATAAAACTTAGCTTTACATGGGACCCACAAAGCAGGACAGCCGAGAATTTGTGAGCTTTCTGAGGTTTAATGAGGCCCTCTACAAATCCCTATGATTAATGGTTGTTAATGAAAATTTATTAAAATGTCTCTAAAATTAACAGCACTGAACTGATTTCTGAAGCCCTGCCCTGCCCCGCCCCGCTTGATGTTTACAAGTTTTCGATCATTTGTTTTCTGACGATTGACAAAATTTTATCTTTGCTCATTAGCATACTAATAAACCCAGTAAAATTCACTGTCAGTTGATTTAACCATAGACACAAATGGCCTTGGAGATCTCATTTAGTGTAGTTCTCTTGCTCTAAACAAAATCTCTGCAAACATTAGCATTTAAGATATGTAGCTATCTGCAAAGGATGGTTGGTGTTCTTGGAGACCATTAAAAGTGCTTACAGTTTTCATACAGACCCTTGAAAGTGCTTACAGTGTTTTTGGGGACCCTTGAAACTCCTTACAGTGTTCTTGCAGACCTTTGAAAGTGCTCACAGTGTTCTTGCAAACCCTTGAAAGTGCTTACAGTGTTCTTGGAAACCCTTGAAAGTGCTTACAGTGTTCTTGGAAACCCTTGAAAGTGCTTACAGTGTTCTTGGAAACCCTTGAAAGTGCTTACAGTGTTCTTGGAAACCCTTGAAAGTGCTTACAGTGTTCTTGCAGATCATTGAAAGTGCTTATAGTGTTCTTGAAGACCATAGAAAGTGCTTACAGTGTTTTGGGGGACCTTTGAAAGTGCTCACAGTGTTCTTGCAGACCCTTGAAAGTGTTTACAGTGTTCTTGCAAACCCTTGAAAGTGCTTACAGTGTTCTTGCAGACCTTTGAAAGTGCTCACAGTGTTCTTGCAAACTCTTGAAAGTGCTTACAGTGTTCTTGCAGATCATTGAAAGTGCTTACAGTGTTCTTGAAGACCATAGAAAGTGCTTATAGTGTTCTTGAAGATCATTGAAAGTCCTTACAGTGTTCTTGAAGACCATTGCAAGTGCTTAC